TTGAGTAATATATTGTAATAACTTTAAATAGAAAGCAAATCTGGATTATGAATATATTTAAAAACAGTTCTAACTCTTCTATTTTTCACTTCAAAACTACGACACACAACAATTATTCTACCAAATCAAACTGCACACGGAATGTCATGAAAATTAATGACGAAGTTTATTCGGCATAATAGTGCCAACGAATATTATTATTTATGTTGGACAATTTATCAAAAGTTTTTTAAAATAATATAAATAATTGATGATTGAAAATTTTTTTTCCAACTACCTAGGGTGCATTTAATAAGTCATTTCAACCAACTAAAAGTTTAATGAAAAAAAATTATGTTTAGTTGAATTTTAAAAAATATTTTCTTAAAAATATTTTTAAATTTTTAGTTTACATTTAAAAATAAAAAATTTACTTTTAACTTTTTTTTAAAAATAAAACAATTAAAAATAAAAAGAATGATAATACTGAATAACATCGTTATAAATATCATTCAATTTTAATTATACTTTCTTGTAATTTGTATTTCTCCTCATGTTTTATCTTTTTTATTCAACTATACACTTCATTTTGTTTTTTTTTTTATGTGCTGTTATTTGTTTTAAGTAATTCTTTTATTTTTTTTACTTTTATTTTTCACTCATATTTGTTCATTCTTCTCTTCTTTCTTTTTATTTATAATTTTTTTCATTTTTTTAAACAAATAACAAAATTTGTTACCTTTACAATTATAGCAATGTTAGGTACGTGTTTTCTTTTTTCTTTTTCTTTCTTTTTTTATTTTTTATTTTATATAATATTTTTATTAAAATTTTGATAGACATTATTATTTTTTATATCTCTACATATCAAATTTCCTCTCTCTCTCTCTCTCTATATATATATACTATTTCTATATATTTTATTTATATAAATTAATTAATAAATTTAAAAAAATTATATTATTATATTATTTTATTTTCTTTATTATTACACTTATAGTTGTTATTTAAAAAAATTATATATTTATATTTTAATATAAATTTTTTAAATAAAAATACACATGTATTATTAGAATACTCGAAATTAAATAAGACAAAATTAAGAAGAGTGTATACTATTTAATTTTTTAAATCTATTTTTATTAAAATTAACAAATATATACAAAAATAATAAATTTAAATTTAAAAAAACTTGTACATCGCATATAATTTAAATTATAGTATATTTATATTATATTTTTATTATTTTTGAGTCTTAAGATGCAATAATAATAGCATTTAAATTTGTTAAATAAATAGTATAATAAAATTAGCATTAGTAAGGATATATATTGTAAATTTTTTATTATTAAATTATTTATAAAATAGTTAAATAAAATTTATTTTAATTTTTTTATTTTTAAAAACAGAAAATAAAAACTCAAACTAAATACATTTTTTAAATCTTAAAATTTTAAAAATAAAAACTATTTCCAAATAATGAAAATAGAAAATGGAAATTAAAATGTTTTCTAAAATCAAACAAACTCTTATTTAACTAGATGAAAAACTTATTTAATGAAAATAATATTGTTTGATGAGCCAATTAAAATAATTAGCTATTAATATTTTTTAATGCTACTCATATTAGTATTTTTTTTTATTTCTAATTACTATGTACAAGTTATTTTAAACCCTACTCTTTTTTTTTTTTTTACTTTTATTACATTAAAAATGAAAAAAAATGTCATATGTAATAAAAATAAATGAATGTCACAACATTCGTTATTTTATAAAATAATAAATTTTTAATGTGATGAAAAAGATTTAATAAAGTCATTAATTTTTATGATAAAATGTTTATAATTGTAAATGAAGTTTAAAATTTATTATCTTAATTTAAAGATGATAAATTATTTAAAATAATATATATATATATATATATATTATAAAAAATTATATAGTTACTAAACTTTAAATTTCAGTTTATTTTGTTTAATAATGTCTTTATTTGTAATTTTACATTTTTAGCTAGTTTAACAGTTAATTATATCAAACATTTTTAATTCAATCAATATCAGTTTTTAGCTAAAAACCTATCAAAATAAAGATTGAAAATGCCAATAATTTGATACAGATTTTTTTTTGTTGCTATAATTTGATACAGAATTTTAATTGTAATTATAATTCGTAATTGTAATTTTAAATTCGTTATAATTGAAATTAATTTAAAATTATAATTCTTATATTAAAGTTGCGCAAAAAGTTATAATGTACAATTATAAATTTAAATATCTCTTCGCTGTATGGAAATAAATATGAAATTGAAACTTGATATTAGAATTGAGCTTAGAAATTATAACTATTGAAAATACTATTTTTAGAATTGGAATCGCAAAGCACAGTTTAATGAAATTATAACATAACTAGAATTAATACCTCTTAATCTGGAACTTTTACTTTTTAAATCAAAATTTTAGTGCAATTATTTTCTTTAATCTCATTGTTTCTGTAATTACTGTCCATATCATCGACCGTTGTTACTGTTGTATCATCGACCATCGTCATCATAACTACTGTGATTATCTCTTTCTCTCTCTCTCTCTCTTTTGCAGTTTTACTACCAATTTTGTTAATCATATTACATATTTTTTTTTATAAATACAGAGTTAAAATGCATATTTATAAGTGTATATTTGTTTCTTTAATTTAATTTATTTTAAAGAAATATTTTTTTAGATAAACAACTATTTCTAAAAAATATTAGCGATTCAACTATTTTTTTTTATCAAAGCAAAAATTTATAACTTCAGAAAAAATTACTTGGAGATTTGTTTATGATATAGTAAAGCGTGTAATATCATTAACTCATTGTGTGAGATAAATAAACAGGCTTAAATGTACGAGAATGGGGTTTAACTTCAGATAACAATGCTCTGTGAAGATAGAAACTATCTTGATAAATTTGCTCATTGAAATGTTCATCAAACGGTAATATTTGTTTTACCATTGAACGTCATCAATTTGGTCTTGATGGTTTAAAATTACTCTAGTGTAAAAATTATCATTTCAAGATAAAATTATTGCAATAAATTTTTGAAAACTAAATTTAAATCTTAAAAAATTTTTTGATAGAGAAAATGGAACTTTATTTTACGAAAATTCTTGGGCATACTTGTTATTCAAACCTACCCAAAAGTGAATTAGATGTGAAATTTGATAGAACGAATCCAATAAAAGCCAAATTCCAATTTTCACTATTAAAATTAAAACATCAATAAATTCAGAAAAAAAATGTCAAACTTTTCCCCGTATAACAGATATCCCGAATTTCAAATTTCAACCTATTCCATCCCGATATCACTAACAATTTGCTACCCCAAAACCGTTAATATTTCATCTTCTAACTTATCTTTGCTTTTAGATTAATTTTTTAAATGAAGCAGCTTCCAGGATTTGACATTACTTTTTGAAGTTGTGCATAAAATAAAGATCACCGACTGGGGCTGCGTGTGGCGTGTGGGTTGGCATGACATGTTTGATAAATGTTAAGTGCAAACCCACTTTGTCCAAATGGAATCTCAGTGGTAACCCGTCATCATATGCCCCAAAAGTCTTGTGCCACCGTAATCACAGGTTAATTTGCTGTCCACACTCGCAAACTGTTTCAAACACTTTTTAGGTTGGAACACCCCACCACCTTCTTCCCTACGACCAACACTGCTCCACTGTCACACACGCACACGACAAAATTCAAAGCACACTCACTGAGATCTCATCTCCCTCTTCCTTTTCTTCGTCTTATTACTTATTTGCATCTCCATATAGTCTTTTTTTTTTTCAAAAAAATTGAAAAGAAAGTTGGGATTTTGATTTCCCTTTCTCACACACAATTGGATTTTGATCTGAACCCAGTAAGTTTTTTTTATTTAATTCTACTTTTTGTGTTTGTTTGGCATTTTTTTGAGGGGGTTGTGATGGATCTTGAATGTTTGGCAACATGGGTATGCTTGATTTGGTTGTTTTAGTGCCCGGGGTGATGGTTGTTGCCACTGATGTATTGAATGCACCTCAGATTATTTTGTGATTCGTTGTTATTAATGAGTGTTGCTCGTTTCAATGCTGATGATATTTTTGAATTGGACCAGATCTGCAAGTTCAGTTTAATTGCGTGGTTAATGTTTGTCGTTAATGTTATTCTCGTTTTCGATTTAAATTCGTTGAGGTTTCTTGAATCATACATTTGCCATAGGGATCGTTTACCTGACACCTTAGATCGTGTTTCTTTTGATGGGGGTGTTCGGATTTATCATTTTCACTGTTTTGCTGTCACTTTGCTTGATAGCTAGCATAATTGTCATCGTTGCTTTTTTCTCTTTTATTTATTCTCACTGGGACGTTGAGTCCAAAGAATTTGATTGAAAACTTGGACTGAATCTTGAAGATTTTGTTGTAACTTATTGTTGAACTAAATTGTAATAGCTTCAGTCACACTCTAGGATTGTACATCAATTAAATTAGGCAGTATGTTATCAATCTATAAATTAGGCAGTGTGTCAAACAAGAGTTTGACATACAGTACTAGGACTAGGGATTGCCTTGGCCGGGGTGTACTAGGTCAATTGATTGATGCTATCCTTATTTTTGTTTCTGAATATCCCCAGCGCTGTGATAAAGCTTTTTTTGCTGGTTGGTTGCCATGGTTACATCTCTCATTGAGCATTGTCCCACCTGGGAATAAAAAAGTTTGAATTTGGTTTCTATATTTGGGTCTGTTTTCCTTTAAGCACTATCATTCAAAAGTCAAAACAACAAAGTAATGAACTTCTATATCTCTTTTGCTGACTGTTCTTCCCTTGCTTGCTTGCAGATTAATCATTAAGTCAGAGTATTGTGAATCATTGCTTCTAATTTTGTGAATTTAACACTGAATGTCTGGTGAATCAAGATCTTTTTAGTCTGCAATTGACCAGTGAAAGTTGCAATTTGGATTTGTATTATTTTCAACTAATAAATGTCGAGGGGGAGATCTGATGGATCACAAAAGAAGCGTTTAGTTGCTTCCATTTGTGTTGTGGCAATTTTTCTTGGTTTTCTGTATGTGTATGGTGGATCCATCTTTGGTTCTCAGAATGGTAGTTCATCTGCTCTCGAATATGGCAGCAGATCATTGAAAAGACTTGGCTCATCATATTTGGGTGCAGAGGATGATACTGATGGGAAGCAAGCTGAATCTTTATCAAGTTTCAGGCAGGGATATGGGGAGGATGATATTGTTCCAAAGAGTTTCCCTGTATGTTGCTTTCTCTCTTTCTCCATGCAACATTCTTATCATTGCCCTAATCTTTCATTTTTTGCTTTTTCTATTTCTATTTAATCAGTCTTTGTATTAATAGTGACAATGAACTCTCTTTTATACTGTTTGATTTGAATTCAGTTTGTCAAACCCATAAATTCAAGTGTAAGCGTTTAGTGAATTTCTAATAAAATAATACACGTGAGTTATGTAAGATACTTAAAATGTATTGTAAATGGAAAAATAAAAGTTGAAGAAAACTGATTCCACATTCCCATCCATGGGAATATCCAAATCAAGCAACAAGAGTCTTGTTTGCATAATGAAAATAAAATTCTGAGTTTCATAGATAAATAAATGGACACAAACAAGTTCATGGACATCATCCAAAATGTCTATGCTTTTGGCTCATGAGCAATCTCATGGTATTTACAATGTTTATGCTTTTGAAGGTTTGTGATGATCGTCATATGGAGTTGATTCCCTGCTTGGATAGACACCTTATCTATCAAATGAGGATGAAACTGGACCTGTCTGTGATGGAGCACTACGAGAGACACTGTCCTCCTGCAGAAAGGCGGTACAATTGCTTGATTCCTCCACCATCAGGATACAAGGTGAAGATTTGCCAATAGTAGATGTGATCTTCAACATATCCTCTGATGCATATGTACTATTTTAGTCCAGCATTTATTGTTTCTCTGATGGTGCAGATCCCTATTAAGTGGCCACAGAGCAGAGATGAAGTGTGGAAAGCAAATATCCCACATACTCACCTTGCTCATGAGAAGTCTGACCAAAATTGGATGGTTGTAAAAGGTGAAAAGATAGTGTTTCCTGGTGGCGGGACTCATTTTCACTATGGAGCTGGCAAGTACATTGCATCAATTGCAAATGTAAGTCTGGGTCTGACTTTACCAGTGGTACCTATATGAAAGATGAAGTCATATATGTTTTGTTTTTGGATTGGGAGTTCTATGGGATTTTGTGTGTTTTTATACAAATATCTTTGTGTATTTCTGTTGCTAATGGTGAGAATTTTTTTTGCAGTTGTCCATTTCATTTGATTGCCTAGAAGTTTAAGAAAATCTCTATTTTTTTAATAAATTCATGAAACATTTGAGTTATTAAGTGTAATTGGTTAATTTAAAGTGATATTATTTTAGATAAATACACCTTTTATTTTATGTTCATTTTACTTATTTCATTCCTATTCTTTCATTTTATTAGTATTTTATTTTTTGAACATTTTTTTTGCATGTATATGTAGTGTGTCTTTGCATCTAGTTTTAGTAATATGGGATTGTTTACTGCAGTGGATTTTGTAAACAATTCATGTCTCCAGCTTAAGCTTCTAGAGAACTCAATCCTTTCAAGTGAACATATGTTCGACTGTTCTTTGTAATTCTACATTAAAATTTTATCACAAGATAAAAGTGAGCCTATACATTGCACTTGATTCAAGACCAAAAGGCTATTGGGGGGGTGGTTGGGTGGGTGGGTTATTAGAGAGATAAAACCATTCATGTGTCCACTTAATAGCTTAAGCTTTTAGAAACATTGATACTTGAATGACACAATACACCCATATTCTTTAATTCAGTTATCATGCTTTTCAATATCATTATTGTTTGACAGTTCTGGTTGTTTGATATATTTCTATTTATCTAGATTTGCTGGCATTTCATAGATAAATCATTTTATTAACATACCAGTTTGTGTTGTCAGATGCTTAACTTTTCAAACAATAATCTAAACAATGAAGGAAGGTTGCGAACAGTGCTTGATGTTGGCTGTGGGGTTGCAAGTTTTGGAGCATATCTTCTTTCATCAGATATCATTGCAATGTCCTTGGCACCAAATGATGTGCATCAAAATCAAATCCAATTTGCCCTAGAAAGAGGAATTCCTGCATATCTTGGTGTCTTGGGAACTAAGAGACTCCCTTACCCAAGCAGATCTTTTGAACTTGCTCATTGTTCTCGTTGTCGAATTGATTGGCTTCAAAGAGATGGAATACTACTACTTGAACTAGATCGCTTGTTAAGGCCAGGAGGTTATTTTGCATACTCATCCCCAGAAGCATATGCTCAGGATGAAGAGGATCTAAGGATATGGAGAGAAATGAGTGACCTTGTGGGGCGTATGTGTTGGAAAATAGCTGCAAAAAGGAACCAAACTGTCATCTGGCAAAAACCTTTGACAAATGACTGCTATATGGAAAGAGAGCCTGGTACTCGTCCTCCTCTTTGCCAATCTGATGATGACCCAGATGCAGTTTGGGGAGTAAATATGGAAGCTTGCATAACACCTTACAGTGATCGTGAGTACTCTTTTCTCAGTATGCTATTTGGTGATTTTTTGCATTCCATGGCTTCAAGCAAATTCTTTTATAACTATCAATTCATAGCTGCATCTTTAGTAGCATGCATTTTTTTTTTCCCTTTCTGGTGCATCTGTCATCATCTATTTATTCTATGGTTTCTACAGATCATTCTGGCAATAATAATTCTCTTCCTTTAGTTGCAATGGATTGTTTGATTTCCTCCAAGTAAACAAATTCAATGATATGGGGCTTGTTTGGGCTTTTAGCTTAAGAAAACTGCTTTTAAACAGGAAGTGATGGTGTTTTAATTTCCTTTCTTTATATGAAAAATAGGATAAGTTATTTTTATATATATACATCTGCATTTTATGCATCATGGGTGCAATTGCATCTCCCATTAACCAATCCTTAAATGACCTGCTATGCTATGAGCTCATGAGCTGCTGTTGTGAGTACACCTAACTAAAATCCTTAATATATATCAATCTAAAATATATTCATAATGTTCCATCTTACTGGATGGATGCAAGGTGAGCCTTTCTGCCTTGTGAGTGGGTAGTCACAAGTTCTAGTTGTAGAAACAGCCTCTCCTCTCCCAAGGGTAAGGTTGGATACAGTACATCTTACCTTCTCCAGCTCCTATGGTGGTGGGAACCTCATGCTGCCCTTTTTGCTGTCTTGATGTAGAAGATATGTATTTGCTTTAAGTGCATGCAGCCTGTATCCCAACTCCTAACCTGATAAAATCCAGCTTTAATTTTTTTATTTTATTGTTTAATTATCATAGAAGAGAATATTTTGAAGAGCTGTGGTATGAAACTTAACTACTGGAACTTTTCTTAATTTTATCAGGTGACAACAGAGCCAAGGGTAGTGGATTAGCTCCGTGGCCTGCAAGATTGACTAGTCCTCCTCCTAGATTAGCTGACTTTGGCTATTCAAATGAAATGTTTGAAAAGGACACGGTAATTGTAAATCATAATTGGTTGTGTTGTTTGTTAGTGACTTTATTATTATTTTTTTCCTGTGAGCATAAATTTTTGTAAAATAACAATATACTTTTAGATAAACCAACTGTTGGCTTAAATTTTGTCATGTGGTGCAGGACCTATGGCAAAAGAGAGTTGAAAAGTACTGGAATCTCTTGGGTTCCAAAGTCACATCAAACACATTGAGGAATATTATGGATATGAAAGCAAACATGGGTTCTTTCGCAGCTTCTCTTAGAGACAAGGATGCTTGGGTGATGAATGTTGTAACTAAGGATGGGCTAAACACACTTAAGCTTATATATGACAGAGGCCTCATTGGCACTACTCATGACTGGTATTAAAGCTACATTACTTGAATTATAAACCCAATGCTTCTTTGATAACTTTCCATGCATTTGAGGCATTTCATTTTTATGAATTTGGTTTCTGATCTCGCATGATTTTGACTTCTGATCTCTAGATTCATTTTTCAATTAGGCTTTCATTTTTCCTACAATATTATGGTTCTTCTTGTATATATTTATTCCTAACAAAGACTTCACAGAATTTATCTTAATGATAATTTTATCAAATAGAGAATGAAGTTCTTGAGAACTGTTGTTTATTCTAGATTCAGTTATTTTTTTGTAGTTCCTCCATGGATGATGAAAATAAGATTATTGAGTTATGATGCGATGCATCTTAAACAGGTGTGAAGCATTTTCAACATACCCCCGGACTTATGATTTACTTCATGCATGGACTGTCTTCTCTGACCTAGAAAAGAAAGATTGCAGTCCAGAGGATCTATTAATTGAGATGGATCGCATGCTTAGGCCTACTGGTTTTGTGATCATCAGGGATAAACAACCTGTGATTGATTTTGTTAAGAAGTACCTTAGTGCTTTGCACTGGGAAGCAGTTGCAACTGCAGATTCCAGTTCTGACTCTGTCCAGGATGGTGATGAAGCTGTTCTTATCATCCAGAAGAAAATGTGGCTCACTAGTGAAAGCTTCAGGGATACAGAATAGGACAACCATTATATTTTCATTTTCTTATATATTATTATCTGTAGCTACAAGGGATCAAAGCAGGTCCCAAGTGGTGAAGCAGTAAACAACTTCATTTTGTAGCATTACGTAATGTTCTCTTTTCATTTGTTTTCCTTTTGATTCTCATTTCTGGGGTAATGATTCATGTGATTAAGGCATAGGCATCACGCTTTTATAGGCTATTCAAAATTTTGCCTGCATTGGGGGATTACTGGATTATGTAAGCTACTTAAATCAAGACTTAGTAGACTTGATAAAATAGATTACCACTTGTCACTTATAAGTTATGTAATATATATACACAAGCCTCTTCTGCTCATGATTTCATTTCGGCTTGCCCAATCACTGAACAGCCAGAAGCCAAGAAATATCTATATAATATTTCCTCGACATAACTAATGCATGATTATACAGTTATGGTTTTGGAAATGGATCTTGTTAAATTCTTACATAATATTATGAATGTTTGTATAAAGAAATAAATATAATATTACATGTAAACATTCATTCCTGTCATACATCACATGATAATTATTTTGACAAGAGTCTTAATCTGACCCTACTCGAAGTAGTCCTTAATACTATTTTTGTGGTCAAAGACCGTTCCTTGTTTGGAGAATAAGAGTATGGTCAGTTTCCTTTAATGGGAGGCCTAGAGGAAATATGATCTAAAGCAAACCAATGAAGCCGCAAGACCCAGTTTACCCAAAAGCGAAAAAACGTTATACGCATTAGAGTATGAGATGGCATGGAAGCAGTGAAACAAATACTGCACCCATTTTTTTCTTTTGGGGGTGGGGTATACTATAGTGGACATATTGTATCTCTCCTTCGCTACTATCAAATATATGTCCAAAAATAAAATTTCTATATTATTAACTTATTTATAAATATATAAACTATATTAGGTGACATTTTATAATTCTGCACCTTATCCAGTAAATTAATATATTAATTGCCTTGATAATCTAGAGTGATAATTAAATAAAAATAAAAACTAGATAAATATATTTAAGTGACAAAACTAAGAACAGTAATCATTATATTATAATGTTTGTATTTTATTAAGTAACTAATTCCTATGATCGTGCTAATTAAGATGCAAATTGAGATAAGTTGAAATATTGAAAAATTTAAATAAAAATTTTAAAATAAGAGAATTTGAGAAATAGTATCTTTTAAAAACGATATGAATCAAAATTATCGAATTGAAATAATTTTGTTTTCTAATCAAATAATTTTTTCAATCATCTCATATCTTTGTTTGTATGAATTAATCGAAATCAAATCCTTTTTAAGCATGTTGACAACAATAACAAAAAAAGTAATTATATAGTAGTAACTACTTATAAAAGTAATACTAACTAATTGTAATTTCATTTATTAGTCTTTTCATTTTTTTCCCCCTTATTTGATATTGGCACAATTTTATTATGTGAGATTAATTTTAATTGAAATATCAAAGAATGATACTAACTACTGAATCAAATGAAGTGTGGAGAAAAGATAAAAAAATCTCTGTCAAATTAATATGTAATAATTAAAATAATAGATATTAAAAATGAATACATTGCTTTAAAAATTAAGAGTTTTGTCGTTAATAATTACATCTAATGCTAAATTAAAATATAATTTAAGAAAAAATCTATAATACTTTTTATAATTGAGAGAATTTAGTATCCTCTTTTATATATAAAATAATTGTTACCAATGTAAGTGGATAGTTAAATTAATCATTTAATTAAAAAAATGTTAATATTTTGTAATCTTTAAAATATAAGATGAATCATAATCGTTAGTCTAAAAAAATAAAGAATATTTTTTTAACGTATATCAATATCGACATTTTAATTTAAACATTTATAAAAATTAAAAAAAAATCATATGGCGAATTTGTAAAATTAATCTAATTAAAAAAATCTGAATTGGCTGTGTATATATAAATTTTGATAGCTAGAAATAAAGAGTGTGAGATTTTATTAGGAAAAAAATAGCAAAAAGGAGAGATAATGAAGTGGTTTCCAATTTGTTAATAGAAAATAATATTATAAAGTGCTTTCCAACTTTAAACATTTAAAAATAAAAATAAAAAGTAAAAAAAAGGAGTAAACGAGGGAATGAATGGGGCATGGAAATGATGATCGCAAAGTGGTCCTCTCTCTTTCTCTCTCTCTCTCCGCCTTCTTTCTTCACACCGATAATCTCGGCTCTTTCATTTCTCTCTCTACACTTTCTTTGTCTATCACACTCACTCCTTCCACTCCCACATGCCACAACCTTCTGATTCCTCTCAAAATTTGAGGTTTTTCTCTTCTAACACACCCTTTTGCTTTATCAACGCAAATTCCATGTTGGTTTGCTTGTACTAGTGTTGCTTGATTCGTTTTGATTTTGATTTCGATGAAGGATATCTTCAATTTGAATTTTTGTCTTTTGGGTTTGTGTTTGGTTGGTTAGGAGATATGAGAAGTGAAGTGAAAGTCAAATTTTTTCGTTGGTGATGGTGATGGGGTCACTGTGGTTGTTCATTGCTCAAGATTGTAATTTGACCTTGTTTCTGTTTACCCATTTAAGGGATTTGACTTGTACTGTGTGCAATTGAGTGTGCTTGATCAGCGTGTGGGGATCGCTGTTTGGACTGAAGATTGGTACTGAAGCTTTGAATTCCATGGTTTCGTTGTTGTTTTAGGCTTTTTGGGAAATCTAAAAGCTTACTTTTGGTTCAATTTTGCGATTAAACTGTTTTGAACTAAACAGAGAATGATTAGTTTATTTCCAGTAGTTTTCAAACATTGCAAATTTGATCAACATTTTTTACGCCTAAATTTGCTGCTAAACAGGATCTTAGATGATTTGCATTTTGTGAACTTTATGGCAGATTGTTCCACTTTTGCAATGTCTAGGTTTAATTACATTCTTAGTACCGCATTTACTCAGTTGCTCTGATAATTTATCTAGACTTTAGATTATTTATCATCACCTTTTCCCCCCTTTGTGTTCTTTGTGTTGTATTTTTTTTATTCTAACACCAGATGATCTCTTAAATTTCTTTTAGTTTATTTGCATTGTCAGTATCCACTTGTTTACTTCCAATTTAATAATTCTAGAGTATTTTTATGATCAGCTAAGATAATATGGCTGACAGCGTAAATTTGTTGATTGATTGCCTTTTTTTTTTTTTTTTTGTATTTGGCAGAATTAAGAGTTAGTGTGCCTTGGATTCGTTTGGTGAACTATGGGTTCTTGATTTTCAGTGCTGGAAAAATGAGGTTCTTGGTTGAGAAAACTTCTAATCTTTAGTGGCTGGTGAAATAGAACATATAACACACCAGGCTTAAGATCTTAAAAAAATGGATAGGTGCTGGTTTAATAAGTTCAAGCCAAAGGACAAAACACAGTCTTCAAAAAACAAGGAAACTACTGGCTTTGCAAAAGAAGGGTCAAAACCCCCAACAAATGAAGAAGCACCTTCAAACGTGACTAAACAGAAGGTTGCAGCTGCAAAGCAGTACATAGAAAATCATTATAAGAAACAGATGAAGGACCTGCAGGAGAGAAAAGAACGGTACATTTACTTTAACTTATATTTTGGTCATTATGATAGTGCAATCTAAAGTTACTGATGAGTTTTGTACCATGTCCAGTATTTGTTTGAAAATACTTATAGTCATCTGATTTCTTTAATGTCCTTGCTTTTTGTTGTCCTAGCCACATAAGGTGTCAACTAATATTCTTTGATATTGGAAAATATTGTATGATATTCTTGACATATTGACCTATATTGTCTCTGATGTGCTGTTATAGATTATGTGCAATTAACTTTTGCAGGTTGAAATTGTTGTAAGTATTTATTAAGACTAAACACATTATTCTTGCAGACGTAATATGCTAGAAAAAAAGTTGGCTGATGCTGAAGTCTCTGAGGAAGAGCAGAACAACTTGCTTAAGTACTTTGAGAAAAAGGAGAGGGAATACATGCGCCTTCAGAGACATAAGATGGGGGCTGATGATTTTGAGCCCCTGACTATGATAGGAAAGGGTGCATTTGGGGAGGTATAGTCTACCTTTATTTTCATTAAAGTAAAACTATTTTTTTTATATATCCCATATGTTACTTTGTCCTTACTCATATTTATCTTAATATTGCAGACTCAATTCTTGGTGATACTGAATACTGATAGCATTACTATTTTCCTCAAATAAATAAAAGGGATTGAATGATATGTATGTGTGAGGAGGGGAGATGTTGATCAAAACCAAATATCTAAATTCAACTATTTTCTTTTCATTGGCATTCACATCATTCTGGGATTTTTTTTGTCTTGGTTGTTAATGAGTATGGGAGTTCAAAGTTTTTCTAATTTTATTAAGAGTATTGGCAACTACTTTAGCTGTTGGAGTCTGATACGTATTCTACAAATTATAATGCTTGTGGTGGAGAACTGTAGATTCAAGACATAGGTTAGGGTCTGCCACCTATGGAGAAGTAGCACCTCAAAATTGTTTGTGGCAGTGAATGTTTACATTTGAAAATTGGCAGCAATAGTGGAGGTTTACAGTTCAGAATCACTAATTTTACTGTCTGGGTTAACTTGGTATTTGATTTTTGTTGCTAGTTAAGCTGTGAATTATAATAGCAAATTTATGAATGATTCCACTTGTAAAGAAACCTTGGGTCCTTGGCTTGTTTCTTAGCTGTTTCTGTCATAGACTATCTATTTCCATCACTGGGGCTTTATCAGGTCTGATTGGAGACTAGTATATTGATTGTGAAAACTCTTTGTCTGCTAGTAATGATTTTTCTTATTCTCTAGCTGCAATACTCAGGTTTCTAGTAGCATTTGTAAGTGTAACTATAATACTTTTGAACTCATACAAAAATTGTCAGATTATTTGACTTTTGTAATTTTTTTCTTTTGTATAGGTTAGAGTCTGCCGGGAGAAGGCAACTGGTCATGTATATGCTATGAAGAAGCTTAAGAAATCAGAGATGCTTCGCAGAGGCCAAGTAATGAAATCATCAGCACTTCATCTCATTGTTAAAATGAATATTGTCTTATTATACTCACTGGTTACTTTTTATCCTTGTTTAGGTCGAACATGTAAAAGCTGAGAGGAACCTACTTGCAGAAGTTGACAGCAATTGCATTGTAAAGCTTTATTATTCCTTTCAGGATGAAGAGTATTTATATCTCATAATGGAGTATCTACCTGGTGGGGATATGATGACATTGCTCATGCGGAAGGATATACTGACAGAGGATGAGGCTAGGTTCTATGTTGGGGAGACTGTCCTAGCTATAGAGTCAATTCATAAACATAATTATATTCATAGGTTAGCTCAAGCTGCGAATAATAATGTTACATTGTGGAAAATCTTATTGTACTAGTCATACAGTGGAATTGTTTCTTGCACATAAAAAA